CAGCAGTGCCATTGGAGCAGGAGGTGGTTATAATGGGTCCAGAAGAAAATAAGCCTCCTCTTTCAAGGCACTTGTCCCAGTTGAGGTCATCACAGAGTTGTGTTTTTTTTTTTTTCTTTTTTGTCATTATTATTTTTTTCTAGTGCAGCATACTATGGGGATACAAATGTTTAAGCTACATATATTGCCTTCGCCCCACCTGAGTCAGAGCTTCAAGCATGTCCATCCCTTAGATGGTGCACACTACACCTATTAGGTATGAATATACCCATCCCCTCCCCCCTCCCATCTGCCCGACACCCGACGAATGTTACTACTGTATGTGCACATAGATGTTGATAAGTTAATACCAATTTGATGGTGAGTACATGTGGTGTTTGTTTTTCAATTCTTGTCATACTTTACTTAGAAGAATGGGCTTCAGCTCCATCCAGGATAATACAAGAAGTAGTTCACCAATTTTGTATGGCTGAACAGTACTCCATGGTATACATATACCACATTTTATTAATCCACTCATGTATTGATGGGCATTTGGGTTGTTTCCACGTCTTTGCAATTGTGAATTGTGCTGCCCTAAATATTCTAGTGCAGATGTCTTTTTTATAGGATGTATTTTTTCCTTTGGGTAGATATCCAGTAATGAGATTGCTGAATCAAATGATAGTTCTACTTTTAGCTCTTTGAGGTATCTCCATATTACTTTCCACAGAGGTTGTACCAGTACATCACAAAGTTTTTAAGCCAAGGAACAAAGAGGAATCTCCTCAGGCACAGGAGGGCGAGCTACTTCCCCTGGCAAGGGATACTCATGGTGACTTGAGGGTTCACGGCTGTCTGTGTCATCTGAATCCAACCATATCCTCACTGCACATTTCCAGATCCCACCTCATCCCAATTAATGGGAACTTTCAGATACTAAATTTGGTGAGACTGTGAATCCAACTGACATTGTAATTCAGCAACTTGTACAATTAAATTTTGTATTTGACTTTCAACAATATCAGCTCTCAATATGAAAAAATTATGTTAAGGTTTGTATAGAACCTTTCTGGATCTCATTATGACCTGAGCTTATAGTTAAAGGGCTTGGGCTTGGCTTTTGTTTGTTTTTGTTTTTGTAAGCTTTACAATGCACTCAGGGAAATCTATAACACACCCATTTTTGTCATCATTATTTCTGCCATAATTGTCAAGTGCTGCAGCCACTTTAACTCCCAACGCACTTGCTTCAGTTTACACCAAAGGACATTCAACTGAAAGTGGGATGCCACGGCATGTTATGGATGACTGACATCCCATTGCCCACTGCCTTGGGCCTCAGCTGTGCGCTCAAGCCCAGCAGGACAACGACTGCAATCCCCATATACGCCACACACACACGCACACACACACACACACACACACACACACAGATATATGCAAAATCTTGCAGTTCTCCCATCTTTGAGGCTCTGTGGCTTGAGACCACCCCATTTTTGAAAGGTGTCCTGTCAGCATCCAGCCAAGATCCAGAAATCCCACCAATAAATTTAAAAAGAAAGATGAATATAAATAATTGTTAACCCGTGAAAAATAAATAACTGCTTAATGTGATCAAGATAACTCTGAAGAATACAGGAACAGCGGATGTGGGAGCAGATGCTACTTCTGGGCGTGAGGAAGACAACCGAGTGAAAAGATCCTCTTGGAAGAGCCCTCTCCCCAAGGCTGAGAGTCAGACATCATTGGAGAGGGTTGTGGCTACGGCCCGCAGGATGGCAAAAAACTTCAGGGAGGTGCCTCAGGCCAGGGCTAGCAACCAGGGAACTGAGGTACCCGCATAATCTGCTGAGAAGCTCTTGGCTGAGTGTCCAGCAAAACTAACCTGTAGGCTATTTGCTGGGACACAAGAGAAACTTACTGTTGGGATGCTATAAAAACTCACTGAAGGATGTGCACCACTGGGTCTTCCATACAGCCACACGGAGACAAGGAGACCTTGGGCCCTTGGGCAAGAACCAGGAGGAGAAAGCCCTTCCTTTCTGCGGTGTGTCACCTGTGCCCTCCACTTACAGCACACAAACTGTTCCATCCAGTAAAGGAGAAATGTCTGCAGGGCCCAGCACCGGAACTACCACAGCGGGGCCAAGATGGGTGGACCTGGCGTTCATTAATTGACTATTGGCACAGAATAGAACCTGAAATCATTCCTTTAATTTTCAATGTTTTCGGAGTTACACTTCCTGACAGAGGCAAAGCACCTCCCCCTCAAATGCAAAAGTGGTCCATTGAGAACAGATGACCTTGGTGGATTAAATACAGAAAAAAATGTCCTTCCCTTTTGCTTAAGTGTAATGTGTGGCAGCTCATCGAGCAACGGAAACATTATTTTAAGTTTTATTTTTTGTTTAGCAAAACTGCATGCCATCATGAATTCAATGTTCAAAATGATTGCCTGAACTTAAAAGTTTAGGAAAAAAATTAAGAAACATTGAAATTAACTTATATTGTTTACCTAGAGAGAGAGTAAGGAAGGCATCTTTTTTTCGAATTTTTGAAAACTTAGTAATTAATTATAAAAGATTTAAGAATCTGAGCTGTCAGGTATATTAATCATGAAATTATTGACATCTGATAAACAAAAAATTTTCCCAGTGACTAATTCAGTAGGCTTTTTGCTTCTCTGCAATTAAACAGAAAGAAAGAAAAAGAAAGGAAAGAAAGGAAGGAAAGAGAAAGAAAATAAGAAAGAAAAAAAGAGAGAGCAAAGAAGGAAGAAGGGGAAAGAAAGTCACAAATGTCACCTATCTGGAAAGATTGAGGGTAGGAAACATACGAGTATAGTGATATTGTAATTATGTCTATAAACCCTTAAAAATTAATGTCAGGAAGTTTAGTTACAAAGTATTGTTATAAAAATGATAATTCTTTGCCTCCATTTTTAATAATTTCTTTTAGTTTCCTTTATTACTCCTTATTTTTCAATTTGTTTTAATAAAAATTTTTTAGGAGCTCATATGTGCCAGGTACTCTGATGGTAGGTTTTAGGAATAGAAGGAGGATTAAGACCTGATCTGTGACCAGGGAAATTATCAACTCTCAGAAAGGCTGGCTTTTATATCAGGAATAAAGCCTGGTAATTTAGCAACACAGAAGAGGGAGAAATTAATGAGTGGACATTTCAGTGAATGAGCCCAGCTAAAATATTCAGCTCCATGTTTCAGGTCAGACTTTCCCTGAAAGAGCCTCATCACTTCTTAACATATAGGAAATATTGTTTCCAAGTACACCACTGCTCTTATCCCCACGTTTCTTTCCTATTTATGTTTGTTGTGATTAATAGTACATGACTCTTACTTACATTCGTTGTCACCTTGTGCTCAGGTGTTTGGCATTTATAGGATTTTACCTGAAGCATTTATAGATTGGGAAAGACTGTCCACCACTGATTAGAAGAATAGATTTTACAATTAATATTGAAATAAGTAATGACACCTTGTGGTTCTGTCTCTTGTTAATTGAATCTTTAACAACTAATATTTGAGTAGGAATGCAAAATCTTATTCTTGTAGTTTGAAGACTGAAGGAAAGGAATCATTAAAAAGGCTACTTAAAAAATGTGCCTGAAGTAAGTTTTTTTCAAATGCAGAGTAATTAGAATTAAATTAAAAAGATAATTAAAAGTCTTTAGAACTTCACAATTACATGCTTGTCTTAGGTAGGTGAAGATCTGAAATATATTATTTTCCCTGTTCAAATAAAGGAATATCTTTATATGACTATAGAAAATGTAATATGCGACACCCAATATGGTAGGGCAAGCAATACAACTTATTTTGGGTGAAAATATTAAGATATGATATATTTTACCACTTTAACCTACTTTTTGTTTGTTTGGGGTTTTTTAAACAATATATCTGGAGTAGTTCTTTGGAAATCTGTGCAGACTTGCAAAAGTATAGGAAAGATCTTTGTAGATATAGAATAAAAGAAGGCAAAACCCTAAATGTTGATATATAAAATTATGAATATAAATCACGTTTTTATTTAAAGTTATGAATTCAGATATAATAAGAACTATGTTATCTTTGCAACACAGAATCCTGTTCTGTAGAAGGATTAGGGGAAATTTTTCATTTGTCTGGCCTGAGTTTATATCGGGAGGTATATGAGAAATATTGGACAATTGGTATGTGTTCATGCCATGCCCTTGGAAAAAAGATGTTAGCCATGCCTGATAAATTTTATGGACCTCATTAAAGAACATAAAGCAATGGTGACAATACATGTGACCAATTTTTTTAAGAGTGAAAGCAAAGCTATCATTGTATTTAGGCTGGAATGGACAATGCAAGACACAGGAATGCTCAGAGAGACTGGGCTGATGAAGGGCGTTTCCAGGCTAAAAGATGTGGAATCACCATATTTAATATAGTCAATATATTAACATCTACAGATGATGCTTTTTGTTAGGAAATAATTTCTGGAAAGAGAAAACCAACATGGATGCATTAGCACAAACCTTTATTGAAACATGGTAGTGTGAGAAGAGCTCTCAGCTGAGATTCTGTGACGAACAAAGAGCAGGAAGATTTTATAGGATAGATTGGGAAGAACAAAGTTCAGCTTGTTCATAGAAGAGTTTGCCATTTAGACTCTCTGAAGCATTGGACACTTCTGCTGCATTAGAAACAAGACAAGATATAGGGGAAACCCACACAGAGGCATGAGTTAGCAGACACTGATTAGATATTTTGGGCTTAGTAATAGGAGTCTGGAGAGGTAGCTGGGACCCAGGTCTTGCAAGGGTCAGTGGAACCTTTTGAGAACTTTAGAGTCTCTGCAAGTCATTTAACATACTTGTCTTAAAAAAAATAATTGTAGTTTCCTACATGACTCTTCAGGGTTGTATCTAACATAAACTATTTCTGGATCTCTTTCCCAGCTAAGATTGAAGGGAAACTTTTAATTTGCTTTTTTAACAGTATGTAATATTATTTATTTTCCTTTTTATCTAGGCTGGAGCCAACCTCCTCCTCCAGGATGTTAATGGAAATATCCCATTGGATTATGCCGTAGAAGGGACAGAATCCAGCTCTATCCTGCTGACCTATCTGGATGAAAACGGTAGGCAGAAGCTTTGTAAACCTGCAGGAAGAAGTAGATTGGTGGAATTATGGGTCTATTCATTTTTACACGTGTGCTTATATAACTTCAGATCATTGCAGCTTCCCCAGATGCTGTAAAATAAGGTATTTTTCTCTTCCGCTTTGTGCTGCTGCCGCTGCCCTTCACTGGGGTTTGGTCAATGCAATTTTTTGCAAGCCAGCAGAAATCTAGACGCCAACAACAAAGGAACATTTTCACAGGCATCTGAAGTCCATAATTAGTGGGACTGGGTTTGTAATTATAATCTATTCTCCCCTGGGAGGGGAAGGGAAGTGAACCAGCACAATTGAATTTTGAGCTAATCAGAGCAAGGTCATCTGATGTGTATTCTCAGAGGAGCGGGTGGTCCCAGTAAAAATTAAACGCAAGTAAGTGAGAGCTTAAGTCCCAGGCCGTTTACACATTGTCCCCAAAGCCACTCTTTGTGACACTTAGACACACAAAGTTCATCAGAAGAAAGCCCTATGATCACCGTGCCAGCCTGAGAAAACGAGGCTGAGCCCCGCGATGCGCTCCCCGAGGAAGGGCGTACAGTTACACAGACGCAGCGTATAAGTGCATGAGTGAGCGCAGCCTCGGGAGGTGAGAGAGACTTGAATCCCGGGGCCAGAGATGATATTAAACTAAAGAATTATGTTTCTGCTTGCCCCCTCTTGCCCCCTCCCCCCTGCATTTTATGTGTAAATGACAACAAAGAAATTCCAATCCCTTCAAGGATGACCCTTGGCCAGAGAAAAAGTTTACAATTTATAAGAGCCACACGCTGCTTATGAATCTACCCTTTTTGCCTCTAAGAAAAACTCACATCTGCCTCGTTGTCCCCTTGTACCCTTTGCCTCCTCCAGATCGCTCCTGTAAGAAAGGTTTATTCTGAGCATGGCCTAGAATAATAATAATTAGTACTTAGCGTCAGTGAGTTCTTAAAAACACAGTCTCATGAACTGTGCAAGCCAGGTAAGTGGGGTAGCATGGCGATCCCGACTCGCGGCGCGGGGGTGGCAGTGTGCAGGCAGCTTGCTGCTGACGGTCCCAGAGTCAGGACTGTCGGGCAGAAGCCACGGAGTCAGGCTGGCGGTGGGTTCAGTCGTCCACAGTTCTCTCTTGCCTCAAAACTGTCTCCTGCAGGAGAGCTCACTGGCTTTGTTCAAATCTTGTTAGCTGTGCCTTGGTGGAGACCTATTCCATTACCTCTAAAGGGAACGAAGCTAGAAGTTATGCAGATTTTACTTTTGGAAAGTTAATCACTGAGACCTTTGCAAAACTTCACGTGTACTAGACAATTCTGAATTCGCATGAAAAACTTGGCTGTGATGGTGTCTCTAGTTAATGGTACTGTATGTGCCGTTCACTTAAAAATTTGCTGAGAGGGTAGATCTTTGGTTAAGTGTTTTTATTATAGAATAGTAACAATCATAATGATAAAGAAAGAGGGTGGGGAGAAGCCTGGAGGTGATGAATATGTTTATGGTATATAATGTGGTGCTGGTTTCACTGAGGTGTACCCATTACAAATATGAACAGCTTCTGTATGGCAGTCATACCTCAATAAAGTTGTTTAAAAAATAAAACTCCTGATGCCAAATTAAAACAACTGAAAAATAACAAATCAACCGTGCTTTGTTTAGCTGTGTCAGTCCGGTAAGATTATTATTTCCTGCTTTTCTTACTGTTCTTAATTTCTAAAAGCCACAGAATAAATGTTTCTTTTCAGAACATAAAATTATCTTTATTTGAAAAGCATTCACTTGTCTTATAAGCCTTTCGAACTCATTAAAGCATTTTGATAGGAAATTTTAGTATTTACAAGATCTGTATTACCTATCCTATGTAAAGAACAAAAATAAATATATTCTTTGGGGAGGTTGATTTAAGAAATAATTAAGAAAAAAAAACGAGGAAGGTACTTACTCTTAAATGGTTAAGAGAAAATCTGTCACTACTATGGCTGTCATGATCAGTTTGTAAAATACATGTGTGCTGGAACAAACTCAATGTAATATCTATTAAATTTTTAATTCTGTTTGCCACTTGTCACTGCTGCTGTTCTGGCCCCTGCCTCCCACCCATCTGCCCTTCCCGCACCTCATTCACAATCTGGTTCTGCTTTTGTTGGTCTCCCTCCTACTTATCCATATCATCTGCCATAGTTCCGGGTAAATACTGTCTAATTCAATTTATTCTCTGGACTTCTTGTTGCCATTTTCGAGCTATCTGCTGTGACAGCCTGGGCTGATGTCCTTAGAAATTCCTAATATTCCAAGATGAGATTTTTATTATTATTTATTAGCAGTAGTAGTATTTCAGCATTGCAAGGTTGTTGCGATCCTAGAATTTTCTTCATAATAGGGTTTCAAATCAGAGTACTTATCAAGCTGTCACATCAGGATGCACGTGGCAGGAGGAGGCAGGCGATGTCGTGAACAAGTTGATTACATGGAAAATCGCTGGTCACAAGTCCTAATTGTACTGTCACCACTGACTTACACTGTAGACTCAGGCACAGCAATTAACCTCGGCTCACCGCCTGAGCCTGCCAGCCTGTAAAATGAGACAACCACGGAGAGCCGATTGAGCATTTGATGAATATTAGATCTCCAGTGCAAGGTGAACCAGCTGGTGTGCAAGGAGGAAAGCAATCGATTATAAAATGAACCAGCAAAGAAAAAAAGCACTGGTGGGCGAGCCCAAAGTGGTCCAGGACAAAAGATATATACGTATATATATGTAGATATACAATATATACACATACATACACACACACACACATATACATGAATATGATATATGTATACATCTTCATGAAAGAAACCAAAAGCTTTAGCTGCTGTTGCAATATTGCCACCATCACCACACACTGTCCTTCCTTCCTCCTTTCAAACCCATCCGTTTAGAAAATGTAGCTCATGTTTATTGTCCTGAGTTCCTGGTCTCCTGTTACTCAGCCCACTGAATTTCAGCTTCTAACCCTACAAATCCATTGGAAATGCCCCTGCAACAATTGCCATCACCTTCCTTGGTTTTCTATCCAGTGATTATTTTTCCGTTCTTTTTTATTACCTCTTCTCTCTGTGACATTCCATGACCTTGCTCACACACTCTCATGCAGTGATCTTCCCATAGTTTTCTCCCCTCTTTGAGCTTCTACTTATGTTTCCTTGGATGTTCCACTTCTCCATCCGATCCCTAAATGCTGGTCATATCCAGGGCTTTGTCTTTGAGAATCTTGTTTTATCACTCCACACACTGTCGTGGGGGCATCTCACCCTTTTGCTCGTGTTGTTACCACCTGCCTATTCCGAGGGACATTCCTGTAGCTTAATTATCTTTCAATACCTTCAGTCCTGTATGTGTAATTTTTTTAAGTATCTTGACTGGGATGTCAGATCATTTCAAAGGACACATCAACATGGAATTTGTTGTTATTCTTTCACACTGTACTTATGTTCTATATTCTACCATTATGGCCAGGAAGCCAGGTATCTTAACATCACCTTTTTTTTTATCCCAAACCCCTCCTGTTTAATTGTCACCAAATCTTATAGATTCTACATCTTTGACATCTCTTTAATGTGTCCACCTCCCTCCCCAGTCATGCTGCTACTGCCTTAGTTGAGACAGTGGCCTTTCTATTTTGGATTATTACAATAGCCTCCAAAATGCATTTTCTTGTCCAAAGTTTAGCCCTCTCCACACATTCTTCAGAAGACTCCTGGATGAATCAGATCACAAATGTCATACGTCTTTCTTCTGCTTAATGCAGTTTATTCAAACTGCTGTCCCTGCACCAGCCTCTTTAGAATCACACATCACACACAGTTGGAGTTACAGCGCATCGCACAGAGCATGGGACTGTCCTGGGTTATGCCTGCTGCCAGAGCTGGGGAAGAGGGAGTGGGTGGAGACAGTAATACCCCATTGGCTTGGACATGGTTGTTTCTCTTTGCTGGAACCACCTTTCTTTATTTGCTTGCTCAACTCTCTTGCTTCCTTGGATCTCTTAGGGAGCTTACAATAAAGATAAAAATTTGAATTAACTGCAATGCTTTGAGCTTAGAGAATCCCTTGCTAAAATCATGGGAAGTGTCATAATATAGTTAATTGCAAATGCTGATTTAATTGTGTTTCCTTTTTGAGGGCAAAGGTGATGTTTTATGTATAACCAAATGAGGATGCAATACATATAATAATAAATAAAAATAAGGAATGTGCAGATCTTATAAAAACACAAAGGGGTAAGGGTATAATTTTCCCTAAGAGTACTACAGAAGGCTTCACAGAAGAAATGATGCTTACACTAAGCTTTAGGTGAGGGGCGTGATAGCCCGGGAACAGGGAAACCAAGTGTGTCTGTATGGCCCAGGCACACAGAGGAGCAATGCAAAGGCAGGAGGAGTTCAGAAAAACTATGGGAGATGGAGCAATATCCTCTTAGAATTTGGTGGTGGGGTTTACAACAGCGCAATTCAGCATAATTTCAGCATAATCATAAAATTATAATAATAACAGAATAGAGTTACCCCAATATAGAAAAGAGGAGAAGAAAAGTCGAATTGTTACAAAAACAATATTACCTTAAGAGGGACAGTTAAGGAAAGTTAAGTTAGGGTTCAGATTGACTTGAGGTGTTAAGGGAATTTCAGTTTTGCACAAGTATCTGTTGATATTATCAAATGAAATCAGGCAATAACAGTAGCATTTGTGAATTTCAAGTAAACTATTTTGTTCCTTAATTCCTTTATTGTAAGAAATTATCAGATTCCTGGGAAAATAGTAAATCTAAGCAGACCTTGTATTAATTTTTTTCAGAAAATGATATGAAAACAGAACTAAATTTCTTCTAAAAATTGAGATTTGACCTATTATCCATTATAAAGTAGACTTATTATGAGCTCTATCCATCTTGGTGTGTGTTATCCAGTAGCAGTTAAAGAAATTTGTTTGATCATGAAGAGAAGGAATTTCTGTTGTGTTGTATTACCAGAAAAAAATTTGTGCTTCTTTTCTGAACCTATAATAAAAATCTAAAAATCACATTTTAATTGACATCATATTTGTCTCAAAATTAAGTTTTAAGATATTATGATGCAATGTCATATTATCTTCTGTGGTATCTTCACAGCAGTGACCAGAACTAGATTGTTTTCCCATAATATGTTGTATTGTAAATGAGGCTACAGTGAATGATTTCTTATCTCTATGTTGTAATTTGTGTATTTCATCACAAGTCTTGTTCTGTTTTTATCATGTTCTGTTTTATCACTCAATTTTAAATACTTAAATAATTCTCTAAAAGTTGCATACTTCAGTAAACATTGCAACATTACAAAAGTTAACAAAATAATGTTACTTTATAGCAACTATCAGATTCTGCTACATCAACATGCAAAATTGAATGCTGACATCTGAAAACTTCTTAATTTTTGTTTTCCAAAATTAAGTCACATATCAAATTCCAAAATCCTAAAAATAAGAATAGAGTGACAGTTTTAGTTCATTCGTAACAGGCCTCAAATGATTCCGTTAGGGAATTCTGTTCTTTTGAAATAGCATGTCATGATTCAGAAGCTGAGGAGGAGTTATGGGTGTTCCTAGTTCATGGTTCTACTAAAATTAGTTAGCTTTTTACAGAATATTTGCAAGCTACATTATTCAAATATTGCATTTTGTTTATATTGTTTGGTTACTCCATGCTCCTTATTACAAAGAAAAATGCATGCAAATGAAAGGCATGTGATCCACATGCCAGGGGCTAATAATCACAGCTTCCTTTTATTGAGTGCTTACTGCAAACCAAATACACTTTGCATGTTTTATGTGTTTTAACTCATTCTCATAACAACTGATGAAGCAAGAACTATTACCACCATTTTGCAGTTGAAGAAACTGAGGCAGAGGATAAATTACTTGCCCACATTGGTACAAGCAGTAGTGGATATGCATACAGCACTGAAACCCAAGCAGGTCGACTCCTAAGCACCATGGCTCTGCCGTCCATCCAGGTTCAGAGAATGAGCTCAGAGCGAGGCAGACAGAGCGCCCCCAAGGGAAAAAAGGACAGCGGATAGCAACATGCTTGACATGGTCTCTGTCAAGGAGACAGGTCTTAAAATATTAATTATAGCTTCACTCTTTGGGATATATATTATTATATGAGTGATTAAGGATATTGAAGCCTATACAGGTTAAATAACTTTCCCAAAGTCAACTTGAGGAAGTAAACTGCAGACCAGGCACTTCCAGGAACATCAGTTCAAGATTTATTCTTGGATCCACTGTGCCAGGATAGCTCTTGATGTTTGCGGCCAGGATTCAACCAGATAAAAGAAAGAAAGTGCTCAGAAGAGTAGCTGGTTCTTAGCAAATACTTGCTGAATGGGAGATATCATTACCATCATCATCACCATTTTCATTTGGAAGAAGATGAATTATTTCCCCACAGTACATACTGATTTTGTCCAGGAACTAATGCTAGGAACAGGAAATGCATAAGTGAAGAGACACAAGCTACCATAGAAATTATACGTCACAAAATTGCAGGTTAAAATCGAGGTATAAACAAGAAATAAACAGTCTTGAGCCTTCTGTGCATAAATCATTCACCTCACTTAAGTCAGACTATAGGCTCTTCATTCAATGTTAGTCATATTTATTAATGGCCATGAAATGTTCAATTGGAACATCCTTTTAGATTTTATTTTGAAATTATTTAATATACACAGGAAAGTCTAAAGATAGTGCAGAAAGTTCCCAAATTCCTTTCACATAAGTTCCCCTGATGTTAATTATTTATCTAGCCATGATACATTTGAAAGCTAAGAAGTTAACATTGGTACAATGCTGCTATTAACTGAACTGCAGACTTTATTCAGATATTTCCAGTTTTCATACTAAAGTCCTTTTTCTATTACAGGATACTACATTGCTTTTAGGAGCAAATATTTTAGGGAAAAATCATAAAGTATAAAAGTTATATCTTTGTAACTTGTTTCAATTCGATTTAAGTACTTGAAAGTATTTGGGGCAGTGTATATTGATGATATTCATTAATAGCCTGCCGTATATAAGGCATTCTATGATATCTTTGAGATATAACAAAAGATACATTTTCTATTTTTTAAAGACTATAACCTCGTTGGAAATAGAATGTATGTAAAGAGAAACAATTTCAATGCTCTGAATGAGAGTTCAAACTAGAAGAGGGGTAGCAAAGAACATCTTGAAAGAATTGAAGAGAAAGCAATGTTTTGCCCCCCAGCAGCTGAGAAGCATCTCTACATTCTAATTGAAAGCTTCTTTTTCCCCCAAGGAGTGGATCTGACCTCACTACGCCAGATGAAGCTTCAGAGACCAATGAGTATGTTAACAGATGTCAAACACTTCTTATCATCTGGAGGAAATGTTAATGAGAAAAATGATGAAGGAGTAACTCTGGTAAGTTAATATATTTCATTCAGAAATTGTTTACATAGAGAATTTAATTTTTAAATATAGAATTGATTACAATTAATCTTTAAAATGTTTGTGATCATAAAAGTAATACATATTCATTGTAGAAATTTTGGAAACACACAAATATGCAAAGCAGAAAGTGCAAAATACTTATGCCACCACCCAGAGAATGCCAATGTGTATATTTTGATATATTTTGTTCAAGTCATCCTTCTATATATTTTTCCCACAAGTTTAAAATAATTTTATGCAATACTTTGCCAATATAATTTTTGAGGTATAACTTATAAGAAAATGCTTTCATTTTAGTTTTAAGCAAAATGAAGTATGAGATACTTTGGTGAATGAATTTCTAAATTCAAGCAAACTCCTATCATTACTTTTTTCTTGCTATCATGCACTGTTGCAGTAAATTAAAAACAGAGCAATTAAGTTTGGATTAATATTAATATAATCATAATATCTAATCATAATCTAATCTAATCTAATCATAATATCTAATCTAATATCTAATATCTATCATCAATATAAGAACATATTGCCCCATTGACCCATAAAATTTACCTGGGTATGTTTGAATTAAAATTAATGATAACAGAAATGTATTAAGACAGAGGGGCAAAAATGAGAGAAAGTAAACTAGAATAGCAAAAAGTATGAAGCTCTGAAGTGCATAGAAATGGTTGCAATCAATGATTCGGTTTCTTCCATGGAAGAAATATGATGTGAGGTTAAAGACAGTTGATGAGAAAAGTGACTTAACTAAATGGATAGGAGTTTTGTCATCTGGGAAGTTTTTGTGAGATCTGATATATTTTTACATTTATTAAATGCAGATTAAGTGCCTTGTGACCTCTAGATGAAATTCTCTAACTAAATAGAGATTTTGGAAGGCAAAATTTAGAAGAATATAACTTTAAAATTTTGCTATTTTTATAGCCTTCCAAAATGTGTAAAATTTTAAAAGTATAGTCTTCTAAATGTTGTCATCTATAATTGATGTTTATAAACTTATAAATTTCAGAAGACCATAAAAAATGTAACTCTAAGACATAAGAAAAGAAACCAAAGCATGTTTAGAGTGTTGAAAAATAACCCACTCAACTGGCAAAGAATTTTCATTAACTTAGTGAAGAAATACTATTAACCACATGCTAGTAACAAAATAGTAGTAAACAAAATCACAAAAATCTTTTTATCATGGGTTCACACTTCATTGGGGAAAATGGGTAATATGTACTATAAATGAACTAAATATATATTAGTAATAAATGCAAAGGAGAAAATAATAAAACAAGACAGTGACGTGTTGGTTGTATTGTTGCCATTTTGGATAGGTAGATGGGTAAGATCTACCTCACAAGGACAGTTTTGAGGAATGACGTGAAGGAAGGGAGTGCACAGTTCGGATGTGAAGGAGTGGCGTGCCAGGCTGAGCAGTGCAAAGGCCCCGAGGCAGGGGCAAGTGTAGTGTGCTGGAGAAACAGCAAGGAGTCTCATATGGCTGAAGCCAAGTAAACAGGGAGAGAAGGATAGCTGTGACCAGATCACATGTGATTTTATGGGCCTCAATGAGGATTATGACAATTACTGAGTGAGATGGGAAAACGTTGGAGAGTTCTGAAGGAAGGAGGAGCACGATTCTACTTCAGTTTTAAAAGGATCCCTCACTCTGGCTGTTGTGTTAAGAAAGGACTGTAAGTGAAGATGATGCATTCCATCATGTAGGCATAATACAAATGTGCCACAATGTTAACCACTGATGAATCCAGGTAAAAAGTACATGGGTGCTCATTATAATTCCCTTGTAATTATTCTGTGGGTTTAAATTTTTCCAAATAAAACAATGCTGTAAAAAACAAAATAAAAAGCTTTTAAAAATAAAAAGAAGAAGAAGAAGAAAGGAAAGGACTGTAAAAGGGCAGGGATGAAGCTAGGAGTTCAGTTGCAAAGCTTTTCCAGTAATCAAGGGCTCAGACAACAGGTGTGGAAGCTGAGGTGGTGAGAAATGGTTACGTTTAGAAGATATTTTAAAAAGACCCAATGACACTTCCTGATGGATGTGTGGTATGAGAAGAAGAGAAGACTTCTGAGTGACTCCAAGTTCTTTTAGCTTAAACTACTGGTGTGGTGGAGGTGACATCAGTGACAAGGCAAGTTTAGAGCAAGGATGATCAGGTCAGTTTTGAAGAAGTTACGTTTGAGGTGCTTTTCACCGTCTTAATGGTGCCGTGGAGTTTGCGTATGGAGACTGGAGTCTGGAGTTCTAGATTGGAGAAAGACTTTTGGGAGCATGAGTTTATGTATGATATTGAAAGCTTTGATACTGGCTGAAGTAACTAATTCAGTGTAGAAGGAAAGAGGATTTGGGAGTAAGCCCTGGAAAGGAAGGAGAAGAGAAGGATCCAGAAATGAGGTGAGAAGGGCAAGTCCAGAGACAGGAGGAAAACCAAAAGAAGGAGACATCCCAGGAGCCCCGGGAAGAAAGCATGACGAAAGGCAGGGAGAACCAACTGTCACATACGGCCGAGAGGTGGAGGAAGTGGAGAGTGTGGATTGGCTGTTGGACTTAGCAACTTGGAGGGCCTTGGTTTTCTGTTGGAGGACAGTTGCAGTGGACTTGTAGGATCAAAAGGCAGACTGTAGTGAGGTATTTAATTAATAATTCATTTATTGCATGCAATGAACTAACACCTAACATAGTATAAATGCAATAGAGCCTTTGTTTCTTTGTATGGTAGGAGATCTTACAACTTTATATTTTTTTAAAAAAATCATTACTAAATAAAAACAGAATACATACTTCATCACTGCCAAATAAAAGAACATATACACTTCAGTAGAGAAGCGACTGAAAGAATCAATACAGAGCCAGAAATTGCTATCATTTTCAACCTTCTTCAGTTTTAACATTCCTGTGTCCTTTTATTGAGCAGAAAGCACAAATGTTGCAAATAATTGTTCTGTAATAACTAAACCTTGTAGTGATCATCTTTGAGCTTTTAACAAGAAAGCCACAATGAACAAAAGGCTAGGAAGTTGTCCCTTGAAGATTATAGCGTTTAGCAAGTGACAGTGTGGTTTGATTCACAGATCTGAATTGGCTAATCTATTTATGTTAATGGCTGCCATTCCCTGGTGCTTTCTTCTCCTTAAGGTGCATAGTGTATTCATCTATTGCTGGAGACCAGGATAAGGAGACACTTTTGTTCACAGATCAATTTCCATATCCTGAGTTGGAATGTCAGTTGTGGTTCAAAATTAGGCATAATTTATCGTACTGTTAAATTGTTATGTGAAAAATGATGCAACAACAAAAGGCTCAATGGAAGTAAACTTCTAGTGAAGTAGGTTTTATAGTGCCTTTTCTTCCTTTGTTAGAATATGCAATAAAATAACCAAATATATGTCTTTTTAAAAAGAATCTTTTAGTTTGCATTAATATTCTCCTTAAAAGTTAATAGAAGCCTCAAAGGATGTAAGTTTTTTAAAAAAACACTATGTCTCAGAGGATGTGAAAATAAATTCCTGAATGTAAGTGTATAAATACTGTGAAATATCACTGTAAAAATTAGTATATATACTATGAAGATACTGGTTCTTTACTGTTTAGCACAGAATTTAATATAGCACATCTGGCATTGAGACTTATTTGCTCAGTGTGTTAGGAAGGAATTATTCAAGAAATGCAAATATCAAGCAATTGTATTTTTGTTTCCCTTCATTATCTCAACAGTGCTGCTTCATTCCTTAGTTTTGAAGACAGTCATCAATTTTCTGGTCATTTTTAGGGAATAAAGCTTCGATGGTCACTTTATGTTACAAAACATAGCCTCAATTTAGAGATTAGAATGTGCGGTCCCATATAATGATGAAAACTCTCAATTTAAGTAGGGAGTTATTGACCTTTTTGGACCAGATTACCCATAGATGATCTGGTGTAGCCCATGGATTTCTTGTCAAAATAATGTTTTCAATATAATAACAAATGGCATATAGAATTACAAAGAAAATAAATTATGTTGAAACATAGTAATCATAATATTAAAATCAAATTTGTGTTATGTAATGCATGTGCTTCTTTATCAATGCACTAAGCAACAGATCTAATAGCTACCACGATTTTAAGATGATGTTGACCATAATGCTATTTGAGATACATGCTACAACTGTAATGTGATATGAAAACATCATGATTTTTTTTGATGGTAACATCACAAGTTTGCTGCCTGTGTTCATCACGGAAGAATCTGCTCAATTTCTGTTATAGATTATAAGAAAATATATCTAACCTTTTTCTCACCCAAGCTTGCACACCACCTGAATTCTACCCACAGATCCTGCAGGGGCCACTGGGCCCAGGTGTTAAGGGCTCTGATTCAGTTAAATCTTGAACCCATCTCTGGCTCAGTGCTGCACCAGGTTGCAAATTCCATAGAAGGGAGAGTGGACGTGGTCAACTATTTCCCCTTTGTCGCTTCTCTTCAAGCTTCACTCCCTTATTAAGCTCCTCTAACGTTAGGAGAGGGGGAAGGGAGGGGGAGATGTGGAAGAGGAGACGTAGTGAGAGCAAGGTTTTTACTTTACCTTCCTGGAGATGGCATTGTACTTCCTGGGCCAGAAGTTGACTCCTCCTCTTACACGGATGTAGGAAGCTTCAGATACCACCCGCCCACCCTCATCACTGGGAAACTCTAGCCTGCACTAGACTGGGGTGGATGCAGCTCTTCCATATGGCCCCAGACACTTGCTCAGCTCTCAGGAAGCTGGGGATGCTCCAGGTTCTCTCTGCTAACTTGTGTTCACCCCATCAGGATCCTCTAAAATATAACCGGAAATGACCACAGCTTCTCCATAGAAAAATCTCCACACATTGTTTCCCCTGTGAACTCCTGGGTGCATGGGGTTCACGGTGTATCAACAAAACCACCTTCCTTGCACTGCAAAGCAGAGAGCCAGACCATCTCTTGCCCTTTACTTTTCCAGACAGGACTCAAAACCAGACCACTGTATCTCTACCAAATTGCCCAGGACAGTTAAAATGGAAAACTGTTAATTTAAGAAAAGGATCAGAGGTCTATATTATATTTTCTAGCAGTTAAAACTATAATTAAATGAAATAAATGGCCTACCAAAGGCTGATATAGTGTGGCATGAAATGGCTATCTCGGATGTCCACTCTCTGTGCTACTTCAAGTCTGAGTGCTAGAGGGCGCAGAAGAACATGGCCTTGGGGCTCAGGGCCATGCTTCCTTAGGCCCTTTACCTACTTCTATAAACCATAGTTTCTCTACCTGAAAATTCAGGGAAACAACAGTGTCACAGATTGTAAAGGTTAGAAGAAATAACTTATAATTTTTATACCTAATGTTTGTGAAGCTACATCAATGTCTTGTTCTGCACTGTAGCTAGATAGGTGATTTCCAAATTGTGATTTTCCATAGGAACTCTGCTTCCAAATATGCTACTGCTAGTTCAGGGACAAACAATTACCACCTCTGTGTTTCTCACAAGACCCCTTAAAATAGCAGGAGAGGAATACTCTAAGACATCATAGTGATAAACACTGCGAAATTCAGGCACCCAATATCTTCTAGCCATAGTCAGGACAAGTAACAGGAGTACAAACACCATTTCAGAAAACAGAATTTTTGTTGTCTTATATGTTTTTAACTCTAACATGCTCTTAATAATGATGAGAAACTACACACTGTGGAGGCTAGTGATTTGCCTGTGGATTCAGAGGTTGATTGCCTGTAGAATCAAGGAAAAGGCTCTCCTCGTATTTTATTATGAGGATTTAAAAAAATTTTGTTATCTCTTAAAATGAAGTGGAAGTATTCAATTAAGGTTCTTTCGTTGTTGTTTGTTTTTGATTTGGCATTACTTGGCATGAAATTTGCCAGACTCCATCTATGTCACCGGTAGCCAGTACTGTGAAGAGCATTTCTAGATAGTGATCCAGGACTTCTAGTCTTTTCCTTCTCAACTGTGCTTGAGATGGCTGACTCAGACTCGGACTAAGTTCTAATTGGTGAAACCCCTCCTCCAGGGGTTGGTCCTGTGAGTTTGATGTCATTAGGATCAGTACTAACCAGCTAATGGACCCATTCTTGACTTATTTTACAGATTTATTTTTATACTAAACATGAAAACCTTCTGAGATCCAAATGTTATTGCATTTAACATAGAGTAACTGCAAATTACTGATTATTCAAATAATGTAGAATAAATCTAGAAGCAGGTAAAAGATTAGTTCTCTAGGAGAGCAAGTACGTAAAATTAAATTTTCTAAGATACTTGTGAATATAACATTCCTGAGACTATTTGCTAGAATATTAATGAGACAAATTTTGTATGTAGCAAAGTATGAGAAGATTGATGTTAAACTTAGTGTTTTAATGTTTGTGCAGTAATTTAGATAAATACATTTATTGTTCTAATGTAGTTGAAAGTACAAGAAATAAACATATATGTATACACTGTAGATTAAAAGGCATAAAGTCCAAAAGTAGAATAATAAATGTTTCTGCTAAATTTTATAAAAATATATACATTTAATTAGCCTTTTTTGACTTTACTATAATTTTCATTTTTTTTAATAAAAACAGAAAGGGAGAGAGCTATAAAATTCTATGCTACCAAACCTAGAAGATGTCATTGATTTTTCCACTTTTAAATCATTTTTTTCCTGATTGCTTCTTCTTCTTCATTATTATGTTTATGAAATAAATCATGTAGTTACTTAGTAACCTCAGTTAAATTGAGTGTGTTGACAGTTTACATAGAAATAAAGGCTGCTACCTTAGAAACTGGAATTCCCCCATCTGAAAAATATAAAAAAATTCTTCAAACCCTGATCCTATCATTATAGCTCCTAAAATCTCATTTCTAATCTTCAAGTACTGTTAAGAAACTAAACTAGAAACTAGGAGAATGTTAAAATGGTAACTACACAATCATTTTAAATCCTGCCAGGATTAATTAATCCTTTTTAGTGTTCCTGTGGCTATTACATGTATGTAAGTACCACAATTTACACATTTCCTGTTTTTAGATATAGCTTTGAATTCCCCTTTTATAGCACCAAATACAGTGCCTGCAATATTAGAGCTAATCACTAAATCTTTGACTTTCGGGCAAGAAGCAGTAAACTATAGAATGATTACATTTTGTATTTTAAAATATTCAGGGTGTAGTGGAATGGAGCACTGGGGGAATAGGAATTACATGAAAAAGTGCACATTATCAGACTCAGAAAGAAAATAATCAATAATTAACTCATGAGCTTTCTCTCAAAGAATGATAATGACATCCACTTACACCAAATAAATAAAATTACATGAATGTTGTTTTGTTTTATGGCATCAAATATTTTAGATCCAATATTTTATTAAATAGTTCTCTTTAAAATTGTATTGATATCACTGTATTGATTTCTGAATGAACTGTATTGATCACTACTTATTTTTAAAATGTTACATAATGAAATATCTCTTCCTTGCAGTTACACATGGCCTGTGCAAGTGGCTACAAGGAGGTGGTATCTCTCATCCTGGAGCATGGTGGAGACCTCAATATAGCAGATGACCAGTACTGGACTCCCCTCCACTTAGCAGCCAAGTATGGCCAGGTAATATGACTTTTTTCTGATTATTTAAAAAATCATTTTATAGTCAATGAATAATTTAATATTTAATTTTGATATCATTTCAGATCATGTACTAATAATTATGTAATTTGATTTTAATGACATCATCTTACTAAACAAATATTTTTATAGCTTAAGGATAATACTTAATTTTATAAGGGCATATAAAAATTTCTTATGACTCTGAATAATGTAGTCAAATCATTGGAGAAACAATCAAAACCTATAAACATTCTTCAGAGAATGAAGTTAATACTGTTTTCTTAATAGTATAGTTCTTATTTTTGTTTTTTTTTGTTTGTTTTTTATTCAGAATATTATGGAGGTACAAATGTCTTGGTTACACGGATTGCTTTTGTACTGCTTGACTCAAAGTTGTAAGTGTGCCCATCACCCAGATAGTGTGCATTGTACCTCTTAGATATGATTTCACCCATCCCTTCCTACCCCCACCCACCTGCATAATTTCCATCGAGTTTTATTTTCATCTGTGCACACGAGTGCTGATTGGTTAGTTCCTATTTAATAGTGAATACACATGGTATTTGTTTTTCCATTCTTGCGATACTTCACTTAGGAGAATGGTCTCCAGTTCTATCCAGATTGTTGAAAAAGGTATTAATTCATTTTTTATTATGTCTGAGTAGTATTCCATGGTATACATATACCACATTTTATTAATTCACACATGAATTGATGGGCACTTTGGTTGATTTCACATCTCTACAATTTTGAATTGTGCCTCAATAAACATTCTAATGCAAGTGTCTTTTTGATAAAATGACTTTTTTTCCTTTGGGTAAATACCCAGTAGTGGGATTGCTGGATCAAACGGTAGTTCTACTTTTAGTTCTTTAAGGTATCTCCATACTGTTTTCCATAGAGGTTGCACTAGTTTGCAATTCCACCAGCAGCTTGTGTTTCTCTCCATATCCACACCAGCATCTGTTGTTTTGGAACTTTTTGATAAAAGCCATTCTCACTGGGCTTAGGCGATATCTCATTGTGGTTTTGATTTGCATTTCTCTAAATATTAGTGACATTGAACATTTTTTCATATGTTTATAGGCCATTAATCTATCTGCTTTTGAAAAGTTCCTATTCATGTCTTTTGCCCACTTTTTAGTGGGGTTGTTTGACTTTTTTCTGGCTGCTTTGCTTGAGTTCTTTGTAGATGCTGGTTATGAGCCCTTTATTAGATGCATAGTATGCAAGTATTTTCTCCCATTCTGTAGGTTGTCTATTTTCTCAATTGATTGTTTCCTTGGCTGTGTGGAAGCTTTTTAATTTAATCAAGTCCCATTTATTTATTTTTGTTGTTGCTATGATTGCCCTTGGGGTCTTCTTCATAAATTCTTTGCCTAGGCTGATAATCTAGAAGAGTTTTTCCAGAAGTTTCTTCTAGAATTCTTATGGTTTCATGTCTTACATTTAAGTCTGTTACCCATCTTGAATGAATTTTGGGGAGTGGTGAGAGATATGGATCCTGTTTCAATCTTCTACATGTGGCTATCCAATTTTCCCAGCACCATTTATTGAATAGGAGGTCTTTTCCCCAGTGTATATTGCTGTCCACTTTGTCAGAGATCAGATGGAAATATGTGGATGGTTTTGTATCTGGGTTCTTTGTTCTGCCCCATTGGTCTATGTCTCTGTTTTTGTGCCAGTACCGTGCTGTTTTGGTTACTATAGCCTTGTAGTATGGCTTGAAGTCTTGTAAAGTGATGCCTTCAGATTTGTTCCTTTTGCTTAAGGTTGCTTTGGCTATTTGGGCTCTTTTATAGCTCCAAACAAAGCATAGAATTATTTTTTCTAGATCTGCAAAAAATGACATTGGTATTTTCATGGGTATTGCATTGAATCTGTAAATAACTTTGGGTAGTATTGACATTTTAACAATTTCGAATCTACCATGATCATGATATGCTTTTCCATTTGTTTACATCATCTGCAATTTCCTTCCTTGGTGATTCATAGTTCTCTTTGTAGAGATCTTTTAGACCAATATTCCTTATGAGTATAGACACAAAAATCCTCAATAAAATTCTAGCAAACTGAATTCAGCAGCACATCAACAAAACTAATCTACCATGACCAAGTGGGCTTCATCCCAGGGATGCAAGGGTGATTCAACATACATAAATCCATAAATGTGATTCACCACGTAAAGGGAAGCCAGTACAAAGATTATATCATCTCAATAGATGCAGAAAAAGCATTCAACAAAATTCAGCAATGTTTTATGATAAAAACTCTTAACAAAATAGGTATAGATGGCACATACCTGAATATTATGAAAGCCATATAGGACAAACCCACAGCCAACATTATAGTGAATGGGGAAAAATTGAAAGCATTCCCATTCAGAACTGGAACAAGACAAGGATGCCCACTGTCACCACTTCTAGTCAACATAGTGTTTGAATTCCCAGCAAGAGAAATCTGGCAAGAGAAGGAAATTAAGGGTATCCAAATGGGGAGAGAGGAGGTCAAACTATCACGCTTTGCTGATGATATGACCTTATATCTAGAAAACCGCAAAGATTCTGCCAAGAGACTTCTGGAATTGATAAATAAATTCAACGAAGTCTCACCTACAAAATCAATAGCATTCCTCTACACCAACAACAGTCAAATTTAGAACCAAAGCAAAGACTCAATGCCTTTCACAATAGCTACAAAGAAAATAAAGTACCTAGGAATATATTGAACCAATAGTATAGTTTTTATAAGCTTGTAGTTTCACAAGTCTATAATGATTCTGTCTGTTTTCTACAGTTAGTAGATGTAAAGCAAAATCACATTTTATGTTTCATTTTTCTCTATAAATTATATTTCATTTTAATGAATGATGAGTAGCAAATTTCTTTCCCTGAATTGATTTTTGGTTGTACCTAATATATCTTGAGTTAGTGTAATAATTTCTCACTAGGTACCATGATATCATGAAGAAGCAGCAAACTTTAAAATGATTTACATGGGCGAATGTGGCAGAGCAATGTTCATAATAATTCATGACAACCAAAATCTAGTGTTCAAAATATGAATAATATTTTGTGCTAGATAAAGTCTTAGTAGCACTAGCATGACAAATAACTCCAGTTTCACATGGGCATGGAGTTTTAAGCTAGACTTATGGATTTCAAAAATATTGGTTTGGGTAACAATCATGTCTAGTAAATTTATATTAAATTATATCTTAGATACTATCCAGCATGCAAAATATCTATCATAGAATTTTTTAGTAGTGCAACTATTGGAAGAATTGAAAGCATTTGCATTTCACATATTTTAGAAAAAGCATATTGCTTGGGGAAGGTCTTTGAAACTATCCAATTTGTTCATTACGTTTGTTCATAATATTCCCTTATGCTTCTTTTTACTTCTAAAACATCCACTGCAATACCTTCTTTCCAAGTTCTCTGAATTTCTTGTTATTTCTAGGATTATTGCTATAATTAGTGAAGAGAAGTAGAAAGAAAAGTCTAGGTTGGTGTACTTTCAAATTATTGCTTCTGCTTCTAAAAGTACTATTAATGGTTTCTTAAAAGGCTTGTAAAGCTTGATAGAAAGTAATGAAAGAAAGTTAATTTATGACTATTTTTGCATGAAACCTACCACAAAGACAGAGATACAATGAGTAGGCATTTACGTACCTGTTCAAACATAAAAGTATTTATTGCAAGCTTTGATTCTATATGTCTAACATGCCTACATGTGACAAGTTTTTCCAACTCACGTTATAAAGAACATGTAGTTGTTTCTTTCCCACTTTACTTCCTGGAAGCTATGATGATTAAGGCAGAAAGAATTAGTAGCTATCAGAATTTTATCCCTCAGGCAACCAGATGAAGGTGCTGGCTCTTTTTCCTGAAATGCACAAACACAAAAAAAAATGTCACAGTTTCAGAAGTTGAGAGTACTCTATGAAAACCGGGCATAGACCTTCCAGAAGCCCATAAGAAATCCTGCTCTTCAGAAATGGAAACTTCTACTCAGGAAGTTATATTTTTAAAGAGCCTATAATAGAGCTGTACTATATGATAAGTGTTAAAAGATAAAAGGTAAAATTTATGTCACGGGGAGAGACGTTTTATGTAGCAATGGCAAAAAAAAAGTGCGTATGTATAGACACACACACAAATATTAAACTAATAAAGCAAGTTGGTTTTCTATATGGTAAAAAGATCTACAATTGGTTTGAGTGATAAAAAAGTGGATTTTTCAAAGTGTTAATCCATATAGTTATTTAACAATACAAATCATTTAACAACATATATGCCAGGCATAATAGATGCCACACTTCAGTAATATAGGGATCATAAGCCCAATCTAATGTCACTTCTTGAAAGCTTCCTGGGGATTCCAGTCCTTCAAAAGTCATAAGGTGGGGAAATCACTGATTGATATGGCAGAGAGAATTAATGGCTTTCACTACTATTACCTGCATCTACTGTCACATTCCAATGTGTCCCAAACTTTTATTTTTTTAAATCTGTGCTTTCATCTTGGAGAAGCACAGTCATGCACTTACATGAGAAACATGATTCAGAAGCTGCATTTACTTTGTCAGCTGCAAAGTAATTAAGACTGTTCTTATTACTGCTTCTCACTGTGCCGGTGACACTTCTGACACTCATCATTTATTAATGATAAGTGAATTAAGAAACACTTTCCATTTGCTACATTTTGTCAAAATCAGTTACAAAATGTTTGACCCAAACATTTAAGAAAAACATTATTCTCATTTTTTTAGGTTCCCTAGGCTTCCTTCTTTTTTCTCTTGCATTTCATTCTGCTTAGTGAAGTGATCAGCCAGCTTTGTTTTGAGGACTCCGTGACCTTGCTGGAGCAGAAAGGGCCAGCTCTGGGTACCAGCCCTGCCACTCACTGGCTGCGTCAACCTAGCAAGCCTTGATAATTAGGTTTTTACACAGAGTCCAGCCCTGAGCCTTCAATCAATGAGAACCACCAACATCTGT